ACATATGAATCACTAGAACAGTTATCTGCTTTGACAGACCCATGCAGGCTATCTGTCTAGTCCTGGGAAGAGAGTAGAATTCTAACTCACCACAAGAACACTGAACCTTAACCTACATCAGAAAGTCCTCAACTACCACTCATCATGACCATTGCTTGGTGAAATCTTCCCTGACATTATCTATGTATCCATTTCATCATATCTTGGAGGAAAGCAGCTGTTTCTTAGCAGAAGTTCTCTCCTTTTTGGAAACAGCCTCATTCTCTTTGTCTTCTGTGCTTTATTAAAATTCTTGGACCCAGGAAAAATCTGAGACATATATCATTAACATCATCATTTATTTCTCATCTGGGATTTGCCGTTCAATAAGCATTAAATTCATTATCTGGAAACAGAGTGATTAGGAAGCTACAGCTATACCCACCTAAATGTTGTTTGAAAAGAATGATGAATCACAGATTCATGTCACTTTCAATATTTATACTGCCTTTCTAAATCCCATGTTTGTTCATAGGATACATCTACTTTCATTCTTTTAGTAGGAAGTGGGGCATTTGAGGGATGCAATTTCTTTCTTTTTTTGTATAACATAACTACAAATTCTTATCTAGATTCATTGATAAGAGGAATGCATAGGAAGTATACTACACAGAACTGGGCACAGGCCAGAGGTACCAGAACCAGAAGCTTGGATCATGTCTCTAAAATTTGTAGCCATATTCTTTTAGGGAAATTTACCAAATTTTTGTAGAGGGGTCATCAGGTCTTCCCTTTTTGTTTCAAACTCTTAACCTGATTCTGCATTCAATTTCTTTCTGTGTTCATAGTTCTTAGGTCTGGTCCTGAGTTAGTTATGACACTGCCTATTTTTAAACCTTACATTATACTCACATCTCTGACATGTTCACCTATTCTATTTTAAAAATCATTTTTTCTAGATTATGTAGATTTAGATTAAAAAAAAACTTATTTAAAAGTTCTTCCCTTATTCTAAGTTGGTTTCCTAAATGACCAAGTATTTTCCCATTTTTGGTCCTGTCTACCATTAATTTTTCTTTTTCAAAATAAAAAATTGAGGAATATTATTTTAACACAGCTAACAAGCACAGACACACAAAGCTCCAAGCATACTTCATGCAAACTATTAAGTGGAAAAACACCAAAGAATGTTTATATGTGAATGTAGTAGAATATTATTATCATATAATAAATGAGAAAGATGAAGAATTCAGAAAAGCATGGGAACACTAAATATAAAGGCAGAGTCAGGAGAATAAAATCCACAATGACTATAATAATATTAACAAAAATAACACCAAAATATAGCCAAATGCAGAGCAGAAGCTAGGAGCATCTTAGTGGCAGAGAACAGGTGATAAAGCACTTTTTTTGTGCAGGTAAGTAGAGACATGGGGGAACAGGAGCACAATGCTACACACATACTGCCCAATGCTGTTGATCTGTAGGTCAGTATCAGTTAACTGTCTTTCTTTGCTATAGAGGAAGATTCAAAAGATGGGCATATCAGGAAAGGACTATGACATATAGTGAGGTAATGAGAAGAGAAGCGATCATAATATCCTTGATCAATTGATTCTATCTACCCTATCCCATCCTTTAGCTTAGTTGATAAAGCACCAAAGATAAGTGGCAGATAACAGAGATATGCCTGTATTATGTAAAGAAGGGCTTATACTTTGTTATTCTCTTTAAAAACCATGAATTTCTCAGATCAAAATTGATGGAATTAGAGGGCAACATGCAATAAGTTAAAGGGTGGTAGGCCATGCTCACTTCTCATCCTTTAATAAGTAAGCAAGAAAAAAAAAGTAAGCAAGACATTCTCTAAGGAATCAGTTGCAGCAAGAGACAGCTTAAAGAGTGTGGCCTCTGGTAGCAGAGAAGATAGCCAACTGTGGAAGAACAACACAGGAGTAGCATGAGGACACCATGAAAAGGGAAAGGACATTGGGATTGTGAAATGTTGGAGATGTGAGTTCTCCTTCTCACATGTGTTTTCTACATGGAATCACATGATGTCACCCAAATAGTCACAGCCAAGAGGGACCCCAAGTGGAAGCTGTGTTCTCTTTTAAAAGTTGCATTGTGTATACTAATATAAAGTCAAAATGGGTACATGATTTAAACATAAAAGATGATACCATAGACAAATTAGAAGAGCAAGGAATAGTTTACCTGTCAGATCTATGGAGAAGGGAAGAATTTATGATCAAACAAGAAATAGAGAGCATATGAAATATAAAATCAATGATTTTGATTATATTAAATTTAAAAGGTTTTGCACAAACAAAACCAATGCAAGCAAGATTAGAAGGAAAGCAGGAAACTGGGAAACAATCTTTACAGAAAGTGTCTCTGATTTAAAAAAAACTAATTTCTTAAATATATAGAGAACTGAGTCAAATTTATAACAATACAAACCATTGCCCAATTGATAAATGGTCAAAAGATATGAACAGGCAGTTTTCAGATGAAGAAAGTAAAGCTATCTATAGTCACATGAAAAAATGCTCTAAATCACTATTGATTAGAGAAATGCAAATTAAAACAACTCTGAGGTTACAACTCACACCTATCAGATTGGCTAATATGACAAAAAAAGGAAAATGACAAACATTGGAGAAGATGTGGGAAAATTGGCACATTAATGCATTGTTGGTGGAGTTGTGAACTGATCTAATCATTGTGAAAAGCAATTTGGAATTATGCCCAAAGGGCTATAAAACTGTGGATACTCTTTGATGCAGAAATATCACTACTAGATCTGTATCCCAAAGAGATCATAAAAAAGGGAAAAGGACACATTTCTACAAAAATATTTATAGCTGTTCTTTCTGTGATAGCAAAGAATTGGAATTTGAGGGGATGCCCATCAATTGCGAAATGGCTGAACAAGTGGTATATGAATGTAATGGAATGTTATAGTGCTATAAGAGATGATGAGCAGGCAGATTTCAGAAAAACTGGGAAAGACTTACATGAATTGATGCTGAATGAAGTGAGCAGAATCAGGAGAACCAGCAAGATTGTGTGATCATCAACTTTGATAGACTTAGCTCTTCTCAGCAATACAATGATCTAAGACAATTTCCATTGACTCATGATGGAAAATGCTATCCACATTCAGAGAAAGAGCTATGGAGTCTGAACGCAGATTGAGGCATACTATTTTCCCTTTTTTGTTGTTTTTTCTTTCTCATGGTTTTTCCCTTTTGTTTTGATTCTTCTTTACAACATGACTAATATGGAAATATGTTTAATATGATTATACATGTATAGCATATATCAGATTGCTTGCTGTCTTTGGGAGGGGAGAGAGGAGAAAGGAGGGAGAAAAAATTTGGAACTCAAAATCTTGTAAAAATGAATGCTAAAAATTGCCTTTATATATAATTGGAAAAATATTATTGAAAAAAGTTGCACTGATTTTGCACAAACAAAACGAATGCTGCTAAATTAGAAACAAAGCAAGAAGGTAGGGGAAATTTTTACAGCAAGTTTCTCTGATAAAGGCCTCATTTCCAACTGTAAAGGGAACTGAAACAAATTTATAAAAATAAGAGCCATTCCCCAAATAATAAAAGCATATGAACAGGCCAGAAGAAAAAATCAAAGATACCTACCAATAGTCATATGAAAAAAATGTTCTAAATCACTAATAATTAGAAAAATACAAATTAAAACAACTGAGGTACCACCTCACATCCAGAAAATTGCTTAACATGACAGAAGAGGAAAATGACAGTTGTTGGAGGGGACATCGAAAAATAGACACACTAATGTACTGTTGTTGGTGTAATTGTAAACTGGTCCAATCATTCTGGAGAACCATTTGGAACTATGCCCAAAGGGCTACGAAACTGCACATAATCTTTATCTCATTAATACCACTATAACATCTGTACCACAAAGAGATCAAAGATCAAAGAAAAAGGGAAAGGACCTATACATACAAAAATGTTTATAGCAGCTCCTTTTGTGGCGGCAAAGCATTGAAATACCCATCAATTGGGGCATGGATGAGCAAGTTGTGGCTTACAATTGGAATGGAATACTATTATGCTGTAAGAAATCATGGAGGCAGATGGTGTCAGAAAAATATGGGAAGACCTATGTGAACTGATGCAGAATGATGTGAGCAGAACCAGGAGATCATTGTGCAGAGTAACAGCGATATTGTAATGATGATCAACTGTGAAAGACTTGGCCACTTCAAGCAATACAGTGATCTAAGACAATTCCGTAGGACTTATGATGAAAAAACATGCTATTCATCTCCAGAGAGAGAACTGATGAACAAAATGAAGTATAATTTTATCACTTTTTTCTGTCTTTTTTTTTTCTAATAACATAATATAGAAATGTTTTGCTTGATTTCACATGTGTAATTGATATCATATTCTTTGCCTCCTCAGTGGGTGGGGAAGGAGTGGGAGGGAGAGAATCTGAAACTCAACATTTGAAAAGAAAAGAATGTTAAAAAATAAGTTATTTAAAAAATAACAAATGGGCAACATATTCCTTTACATGGTCCTAATATATTTAAGAAAAATTTTGTTTTTGTCTTTTTTTTTAGTGAGTTTCATCTCATTTCTTGTTTTCATTTCTAGAATTAATTCCTCATAATTTGATGCATGAAGCATTGCATCACCAACAACTGGGATAGGTGAGGGAGGACCTTTAGGCTTTCTGAGTAAGTAAGTGTAAGCGTATGAAAAGCTGTGTTTGAAGTTCAAGTAGTTAGTCAGTCTCTAGGCTTTAATATCACTATCCAAGAGAACAGAAACAACTTAACCAATATAAAATGAGCCAAATTTTCAACTAACATTTGAAGATCTCTCTCTCTCTCTCTCTCTCTCTCTCTCTCTCTCTCTCTCTCTCTCTCTCTCTCTCTCTCTCTCTCTCTTCCTCTCTCTCTCTCTCTCTCTCTCTTCCTCTCTCTCTTCCTCTCTCTCTTCCTCTCTTCCCCCCCCCTTCAGGTCCAGATGGTATAAAAGATCATAAACCTAAATTTCCTGCTAATACTAAATACATTGGGGAAAAGCGTCCAATATTAGAGGCAACCAGTGAGCTTGATTACTTATGGAGACCTGCCCCAAACAGGAGTTTTACAGCAAGACAGAAACATTTCTATGTTGGTGAAATCGGTTGGGGAATACCAGAATTGAGTTTCATCAATCAATCAAGACTTGAGACAGATGTGAACATCAAGGTATGTCATTCACATACTATCTTCTGATTTTTAAAGGGAAAAGTATGCATCCTTCCCTAGGAAATGTCATCATACTTATGTGAGATGTTATTATTTTTGTTTGCTTGTTTTTCCACTTGAGTATTTTATTTTTTTCCAATTACAAGTAAAGATAGTTTTCAACATTCATTTTTATAAGATTTTGAGTTTCAAATTTTTCTCCTTCCCTCCCTCCCTCCACAGTCTTCTCTCTATTCCTCTCCCCAAGACAGCAAGGATTTGATATAGGTTATTGTGTCCAGTCATACTAAACCTATTTCCACATTAGTCATGTTGTGAAAGAAGAATCAGAAGAAAAGGAAAAAATAGAAAACAACAAAAAAAGTGAAGATAGTATGCTTTGATCAGCATTCAAACTCCATAGTTCTTTGTCTGGATATGGATAGCATTTTCCATCATAAGTCTTTTGGAATTGTCTTGGATCATTATATTACTAAGGAGATCTAAGAATATCATAGTTGATCAGTAAGATGTTATCAATACTTTGTAGAACGAATTCTTGGTAAGGTACAGTTGGATTAGATAGCCTCCCAAGTTCCTTCCAACTCTGAGACCGAGGAACTCCTTGACATTTTAATGAAGAATCAGTATTTGTGTCATTTTTAAACTCATAGTCAAAAGACTGCTGGATCTCTTAATGTCCAGCCCTATTCCCTTTACTCTGCCCTACAGTGTGTGATAGCTGTAAAACTTGAGCTGGGTGGTGCCAAGGAAGAGACTCTGCTGCTGCCAATACTCTACAAAGAAGACTAACCAATCATGTACCTGTGAATTGAGTCAGATGAGTGAAAAAGCATTTATTAAGTGTTTACTGTGTGCTAAGTACTACGCTAAAGGCTAGAGAGACAAATAGAAAAGCTGGTTCTCCAAAAGTTTACATTCAAATGGAGGAGACTGCACAGAGAGGGAATTTTAGCTTCAAGTCAGATAGGTCCAGAGGTCCTTAAAGTTTAGTGGCAAGGCAGATAGTAATACATTTTCTTTAGTGTTACTTCTATTTGTAAAACCATATCTGTTTCTGAGATTGAACCATTGTCAGAGCCAAGGACTTAAGTGAGAAGAACTTTCTTTTCTGGACTTTCAGTAGCTATGGCTACTAAGGACATGCAGGCGATATTAGATATAGGGACAATTGCTGGGTGGCTCCTGTCAGTGTTGACTGAGACGGATGGTGGTTTTGGGCTGGAAGCAGGGCCAACAGGCATAAGGATATTCCCAGTGCTCTAGGGCTTATCTGTCTTTTTATAGCAGTTGGTGGTAGTGGTAGGAGGATGATAGTTCCATCTCCACAGAATTTGCTCCCTTGGATAAAGAGTTTCTAGGCAGCCTAGAAGCAAGATCTAGTTATCCAGGTGGGGAGGAAGGACTGTTTTTCCTAAGGCTCTCAGACACAGTCTTAGACTATCCCCACTGGGTTCTAAAGGGTGATGGTGGTGTAAGCATTGCTGGTTTTTGACACACCTGGTACGTCTCTCCTTCATGGTGCATTTTGTTGTTGTTCAGTTGTTTCAGTCATGCCTGACTCTTCGTAACCCCATTTGGGGTTTTCTTAGAAAAGATACTGGACTAGTTTGCCATTTCCTTCTCCAGCTCATTTTATACATGTGGAAACTGAGGCAAACAGGGTTAAGTGATTTGATTAGGGTCACATAAGCTAGTAAGTGTCTGAGACTGGATTTGAACTCGGCTCTTTCTGACTCCAGGCCTGGCACTCTATCCACTGCGCCACCTAGTTGCCCCTCATGGTGCATTACTGGTTCATATCTATCATGTCTATTGTGCATTTAATTCAGCCTCCATGCTGAGAATGTTCTCAGAAACTTCTCCTTATGAACATATTCACTGCACATATAGATCCTCTGAAACAGAGAATCCCTTTATACCTGATGACATCACAAGAGGGTTTTGAATCCAAAGGGTAGGATTTTAGATGCTCTCTTTGCATGAGTCATGGATACGTTCAAAAACAGGACTTTCATCTATCATTCCACATTCTAGTTTAACTCATCTAAACTTCTGATGTCAGTTATAGTATAGCATCCTATCCTTAAATGAAATAACTCTTCCTCCAGCTAAAATCTGGGAGAAATAGCCCACTAAGTACCCACTATAGAAAGAATGAATCCAGTCTTGACTATTAAAGAAATTATAGCCAAAAGAAAAGACAGATACAGGTATCTTCAGTTTGCTTCTTTGTTCTTTTTCACCAAGTCCACCTCTCTGCCTCCATTGGTCATTTAGACGAATTCACTTAGCCTACCCATCTAGCAGCCCATTCCTTCATCTTCTTTCAAATATCAGTTAAAAACAGAAAAAAAAAAGATTTTCATTTTGAAGTTGGATAAGTCTATGGGATTATCAGTCATAAATTTCCTACCAATTTCTCACATGCACCTACTATTTCTCAAGAAGAATGACGTAATAAATAGAGTATTACCCATCAACAATAAGACCTGAGTTCAAGTCAGATCCCTAAGTCATACTGTTTCGGTGATCTCAGACAAATCACTTAACTTCTGTGTTGGAGGATGTTTCCTCATCTGTGAATTACCTGTATCAATGACATTATAGTCCCTATCTCTAGCCCTATTTTTCTAGCACCCGTCATACTCATTTAAATTAAAAGAGAGAATCACACTAGTGGATTCCCTTAAATTGCTTGAAAATCTTCAAATACATTCTGGTTCCACATGCTAAATCTCCAGATGTTGCCGCCAATACAGAAGGTTTAAAAAAATAAAAACTTCTCTTTTCCACCAAGCTATAAAAACAAAATCGAAAATGGCTTTTCTATAATTAGGAAAGATGTTGCGTTACTGTTGTTTCTTCCCAGATGGGATTGTTTTTGGTTCTCACTTTTAACATTTTATAGTTATTTATATCCTAACAGCTTGCAGTTTAATATAAAAATAATTACATTAGCACCTTTCATCCCTAAGTATTTTATAAAGCAATACATTTTGTGGTGCCATGGGAAGTGTTTGGAATGGGAGAGACACATGTTGAACATCTGCGAAGGAAGGAAAAAAAACACTAAGGGGACTAAGCAACTGCCCTCAATTAAATATGTATGTGTGTGTATATATATACACATGCATATAAATTATATATACACACATGTATTATATTATATATATATATGCATATACATATATATGCACATATGTATATGCATGTGTGTGTGTGTGTGTGTGTGTGTGTGTGTATATCTATATACATCCATGTATAAGCACATAAGTATCTCTAACCTCCATATAACATAAGCCTCTCAAACCTTCACCACAAAAATTGGACGGATAGGGTTTCTCAAGTAAATTGTAGGGAGATCCTTTTTTTTCCCTAAATAATAACCCTTTTGGGATCTGAGCCTGCTCAAAGGAGATTTTTTAATTTGATACTTCAACCTCTGAACAATCCATTCTCTAAGAAACCATAGCCACACAGGAAAGAATGAGCTGTAGGTATGTACTTCTCAATGTTCCCCACCCCCCACTCCCCGCCAAGGCATTCTGTGAAGAATGATGCATACTGAACAGAAAATAATATATGGATGTCATAGACACAAGCTCCCCATTTTTGTTGTCACTATGGCATGTGATAAGACAAACACACTCTGACCAGCTCCTGGGAATAGTTGTTTTTCTCTCTGTGGAGAAGACTTTATGGAATAAATAATAACTTAAAGACTAGAAAACAGTGCTATTAGCTAGTTGAGAGTTAAGGATAGCAAAAAGTCTGAATTTCAAAGATTTGAAGAGAAAATTAAAAATAATAATAATTGATATTTCTATAGCTTTTTAAGCTTTACAAAGTACTTTATATATTACTTCCTCTACCCTTTACAGGAATTATTATTTCCATTTTATAGATATACTAAGGATTAGAAAACTTAAGTAACTTGCCCATGGTCCCAGAGCTCAGTGTTACTCAGTGGCTTCTTTCCTGACTCCAAGTCTAGAACTCACTATACAACACCACTCTGTGGAGGTTAAGTAGGCCAGGAGAAGGATTAAAAGTCTTCCCTCTCCTGAAGGCTGACAATGAGGATCACAAGAGGTAAAATGGAGTGTTTTGACTGCATTAAATTTAAAAGGTTTTGCACAAACAAACCCAACACAGCCAAAATTAGAAGGAAAGAGGAAACTGGGGGGAAATTTACAGGAAGTATCTCTGATAAAGGTCTAGTTTCCTAGAAACTGAGCCAAATTTATAAAAATAAAGGCCATTCTCCAATCAATAAATGGTCAAAGGTAATGACTAGCAAGTGTTCAGAAAGCAAAATCAAAGCTATCAATAGTCATATGAAAAAATATTCTAAATCACTAATAATTAGAGAAATACAAATTAGAACAATTCTGAGGTACTACCTCACCCATCAGACTGACTAACATGATAGAAAAGGAAAATGACTGGTGCTGGAGAGCGTGTGGGAAAATAGGTATACTAATGTATTGTTGATGGAGTCGTGAATTGATCTAACCATTCTGGAGAATAATTTGAATTATGTCCAAAGGACTATCAATCTGTGCATACCCTTTGACTCAGCAATAATTCGATTAGGTCAATACCCCAAAGAAATCAAAGGAAAAAGAAAAAGACCCATATGTACAAAAATATTTATAGCAGCTCTTTTTGTAGGTGCAAAGAATTAGAATCTGAGGGGATGTTCATCAACTGGGAAATAGCTGAACAAATTGTGGCATGTGATTGTGATAGAATACTGTTAGGCTATAAGAAATAATGAGAGAGGGTTTCAGAAAAAGCTGTGAAAACTTAACATGAATTGATGCAAAGTAAAGTGAGCAGAACCAGAAGAATGTTGTAGATAGTAACAATATAGTAATGATGTTCATTTGTGAAAGACTTAGCTACTCTGATCAATACAGTGATCCACAACAATTCCAGAGGAGTCATGATGAAAAAAAAATGCTATCTACTTCTAGAGAGAAAGAACTGATAAA